CCCCCGCCTTTTCCCCCTGAAAAACTGCCATTTCTGTAAGATATTATACTACCAACCCTGAACACCGTGGTGATTCATGAACTGGGAGAAGACCAATGATCGAACAGTTCAAGTTCTACACACCATTCATAAAAAACACAGGTACTGCCTCTCACTGCCACATATAAATAATAACAACATATAATCCTTTTCACAAACTTTTTAATCTATCACTTAGAAGGAGCTTATTTTCAGTTAAAATTCTTTGCTAGTCAATAAAGTTAACGACTGTCAGAACCAAAACAACTTTTAAACCTGTCAGGGGCGGGGGGAGGGGGGGGTGGAACCCTAACAAAAAGAATTTGGCATTAACTGAGGGATTCTAACTTGAACTGTTGTGAGACAACCTATGTAAGTAGTTTCCCATTTCTACAAGAATTTTTAGGGAGGGCCTTCATCTCAAAAATAAACTGCAACAAAGTATTTTAAAAACAAAAGTACTGATGAATGTTTTTGAACAATACTGCAGACCCTTTTGCTTAGAAATTAGTATGATATAGGTGTTCCTTTGGGAGTTTATTTTAAATATTCCAAAATGTTTATCAAAATTGGAAACGCAAGATCAAGATGAATTAAAAAGGGAACTTAAGCATTTCAAGTGTGGAGAAATGAAGCATGAATTATAAACATATGTCATTATGACAAAAAAAAGTGGCATTACTTATGAAAATATCTTACTCTTTATGTTTTTTCTTCTTGGTTTCGCTGGATGAGTCATCTGCAGAATCTTCACTACTTGATGAGTCCTGCAGGTGAAGAAAAAAACCCAATTCATTTTCACAAAAGGAATGAAATACTTCTAACATTAAAAAGATAAATCAGCTCCCACTTTCAAATTGGAGGCGTATTATTCATGTTTCACCCTCTTCATCCCCCACAGGGTAGCTGTTAATACAGAATGAGATAAGGACAGCTATTATTTTTGTATTTATCCATCTATGAATATATTGTGTCAGTACAGCTCAGAGAACATCACAAAAAAAATCCATCTTAAAAAATAACCATTTTGCCTACACAAAATCAGTTATGGTTTAAGCTGCCCCAAGTTAACCAAGATGATGGTTCTGTCGAAGTCCTAATAAAATCTCCTACACTCAGGAGCTTTCTCGCCTTCCATAGTCTTTCACATTTAAACACCAATTTAAGAAAAATTTGAGAATGTGCATAGAGAAAGAAGAAAGATGCTAAAGAAAAAACAAGAACCCTCTTAAAATTAATTTTCAAAAAACCAATCTCATTAAGTGTAGATTTAGATTAAGTTTTATCCTGAAAAATGTCTTTCACAGAGTACTTAACAACAGCTGTAAATTAATGTTTTAACGATAGGTGATTAACTTTTGTGTTTAGTTTTAATGATGAGCTGCTAAACCAGACAAAACCAGAAATCCAACGAGTGTGACTACACTGCATAGTTTTTGTAATGAAGGAGAAAAAGTGTACTTTATAAATACAATCCATTTCATAGTCACTAGTGTCCTTAAAAGATGTTCCTACTGCACAAAATCAACATTTCTTTAGCCTATGATTTAGGTTTTAAAACACCTAGAATACAGGGTGTCATTCTTAAAATACAAGAATTCTTTTGTAGTAACTATTACAAAATTTGTAAAAATGTAGTCTTCTACTCCATGCAGAATTTTTGAAAACCGCAGCAGCTACCTTCATACAGAAATAAGTTGAAAAAAATCTTTTAGCATTTTTAACTGTCCTTATAAAACTCAAGCCAAAAATACAATGCAAGTCAGTACTGCGTGGCTTGAAAATTTTGTCCATACATCACAGAATATCTACCTAAAAATACCACATAACTGAAGCTGCTATAATCCTGGCACAACTCACTTGAAAGCAAGTAACTAGGGGTATTTTTACTTTTCTTTATAAAAATGTTGGTTATTCGAATGTTATTTTATAGACCAAGACCAGACTTTTATGCACACTTTGAGAAAATTCCTTGGCTCTATGTAATTTTATTCTAATATATGACACAACGAGACTGGCATGTTTACATTTAAAAATCTAAATTATGTTATTCACCTCTTCTGAACCACTGTCTGATGAGGCTGCCTTTTGTTGTTGCTGTTGCTTCTTGAGCACTGCTGATCTTTGCACAGCAAGTATACTTGGACTAGATTTCCAAAACTGAACAGGAATGGAGATGCAAGAGTCAGTTAAACATACTGAAAGTCTCCAGTTTACCACATATTTACTTCTCCTGAGTAGCATCACTATTAAGACTGATCTTACATGTTATCAGTTAAAAAAATTCACTACAAAATACTGCATACACTAACAACATCAGATAGCTTTTTAAAGTAGTAAGATTTCTACAAAAGAGAATGTGTGTGTATATATATGTATATGTACTTATGTGTAAATATATTATATACATATGTATATATAATAATTGCCAGGACAATTTCTACAGCACATTTAACAACAGTTGTGTAGGTATTGTTAAGGTAAAACATTTATAAAGTACATTTCTAAACTGAGCCAAATAAAATCCTTTCAGACCACTTAGCTGATATGGTTTTGTTTCATACAGTAATACTGAAGTATACGAACATAAATATAACAGAGAATCTGTAACAGTCTTCAATTCCTGTGGTAACTAATATATGACTACCTTTCATATACATGGTCTACCATGCCAATTAAGTCCATATAACACAGGACAGTGCAGGTAATTCTGGCCCACTGGATTTAAGAGATTTCTGAACACCACTTCTTCCTGAATTTAGTTGACATTGATATAGAAAGCTAACTGTATGTAAGCTTGAAACTTTTATACAAGCATTTATTGATACAAGGGAACTAAGCATTAGAGAAACAACGGAAAAAATAGAATTTCAGAAATAACAACATTACGTGTGCCTTTGTCTTCCCTAAGCTCCAGTAAATTAGTGCAGGCTTCTGCACAATGAAATTTAGGTAAGCATTTAACTCAAAATACTTACAAATGTGAGAATTTTAAAAGCATCAATTCAAGTACTTATCCATGAGATACTTAGCTCAATGTTTAAGACAGCCAAGCACATGCATTCTCTAACCCAACCAAGTTAAAATCTAATTAAAACCACTTCATTACATCTTTTTATTTTTTGAAATGAAAACTGCTCTTGAAACTAACTGCACAGGACAATTTTTTAAATAATTTTTCAAATAATTTTTCCCCCACAAAGGGTTCATTTATGTTTTGTTTACCTCAGATCCATCAACTTTTGGCGGTTTAGCTTGAATTTGTTTCTTCTCTCTAGATGTGTCAGACTCTGATTCTGACTGAGTGCCTGATTCTGAACCAGAGTCAGAGTCACTGCTGCCTGACTGGCTGCTGCTTCCATCACTACTGCTTCCAGAGCTTGAACCAGATCCAGAGCCTGATGCTGACCCAGAATCATCATCTGATCGGCTGCAACAGGAAGTTAGTAAGTTACACAACTGCCAGGGTAACAGAATTAAAAGAAAAAAAGTTGCCTTAGCTTCACCTATAAATTGTTAAGTTAGATCAGACAAATGGGTAGCACACAATTGGATACAGTTGATTAAATAAGTTGAGGTTATTTAACAAAGTGAAAAATAAACAAGAAATGAGAATGCAGAGTGTAGCAGATACTCTTTGTGAAGCCTAAAAAAAGCAAGATAAAGCAAGAACTTTATCAATATCAAAGATAAAGAAATCAATATCGATGAGTCAAGCAAGAGAAATAAAAGTGGTAGAAATGTTTCTTACCCACACAAACTTTCCACCCCAACCCGCTCCAAAATCCTTGTTTAGCTCCATCAAACCCCACATTACATACATACCTCTTAACAGTAAAGTCTACTCCACAAAGACATGTCCAACTAAAATATAAAAGACTGTTTTCAGTCTTTACAGATCAGCAGTACTTCTTAAAAAAAAAAAAAAAGTAGAAGCACGTATCTGTCTTAAAACAACTAACCAACCTATGCAGACTGTGTTTTCCTGTTAAAATAACAACACAAAAACTCCCCATGGAGACAACTCTGAATTTGTCACTGATAGTATGACTTGCGCCGAGGCACTTTCCTTGGCATATACGTGAGCTGCCAGATTATTCCACCTGTACTGTATTCATTTTACACCACATTAACATACTTAGAAAGCACAATATTTAAAGATATTTATTTATTTTAGGACCATTCAAAACCTTAGAAATATTTGGTTTTCTACAACAACTTCATAAAGCAGCCAAGTTGAAACTTTCATAAGATTCCTCATTAGGTTAATACTACTGTAATTCAAAGATACCATGAGAAAAAACATTGGAATCACACCACCATCAAGCAAAATAATTTTAAATTATGTACATGCTGACTGTGAATGCTTAAAAATCAGAGCAAACTTGAAGCCAGAATTGAAAATGATGAAACAAAAACTGGTATCAAAACCTAGTGGATCACTGCCAGCACATCTGGCTGGCAGTCAGCTGGAGGTGGTGGGGGAGGGGTAAAGGGCAGAATGATCATCCTCTGTCCTAAAACCACAAAACAAAGCAAAATTGCTCCTCTTTCTGCTTTTGCTAACACCAACAAAACTGTACCAGTAAAGAAGAAATGAAGCTATCCATAAATAGACTGTAGACTGCACCTCAATGAGCCATCTGCACCTGCCAACTTAGAAAGAAAGAGAAAGAAACAGACCATGGTGAAGCTTCCTTGTTCTGAAGGGGGAAGATAAGGAGAAACACACTGCTGCTGGGCTTCCTTGCACGTGTTGAGAGGAAAACTGGAAAGCAACACGGCTGCTCCCAAACTTCCTACTTTTGTCATCAAAGGCTTACTTCAGGCATAGTGCTGTAACACTAACTTCACACGTGCCAAATAAAGCAGGGCACCCGCTACAGAATATGATCAGAGTTTAAACTGTTTAGCAGAAATTAATGGCACTCCATGATGATCTTCCAAAGAGTTTTTAATTGTAATAGTGGTCTTGTATGCAAATGTTACCTTAACTTTAATGCCTGGTAAATCACACCATTATAAAACAACAGCATTTCTCAGCATAGCAAAGCACGATTAGTAAATGTCAGGGGGACTCTGGAAGTCAACACTAACTATAAATGAAGAGAAACGGAAGAAAATTCAGCATGGAAAAACCGTGAAACGCAAGTAAATACCAGCCAGACAAGTCCCAGTGACAAAAAACCACACAAAAAGTCTAAATCCTACATAACCTTGGAGGAGGGGAAGGGAATCAAATACTTCCATACAGGACAAGGCTTGCTCAAAAAGAGCAATAATGATGTGGATTATCAAATCTAAAAAAGGCGCAAAACACTAAGCCATAAGGATGGCAATTAAGTTACCTTTCCATACAACAGTAAAATATTTCATACAAACTAATACAGCGCTAGGCATAGGTTCAACTGCACATAGAGCCAGAGGCAACCAAAACAAAGTACCTCTTTTCTAAGGTAACATGGGGGAACCGACACTGGAATAAGCCATCTTGGTCAAACAACTTGCCAACATTATGAGAAACATGTAAACCAGCTACAAGAGATGTAGATGTGGAGAGATTGGGGTGGGGCCGGGGCAGGGAGAAAAAAAAATCCAGTTTACTTAGATAAGTAAGCAAAATCACATCAGTCAGATTCACAGCTGATGGGAAATTTTAAGTGGTTTGATGTTCTTCAACACAGGAATTAAGTAGTAAGCTCAAAAACAAAGGCACTGAGATAGGAAAAAAAAAAGTCTAGTAGATAATGCCAGTTGCTCTGGGGTTGGATTGAAAAAAAAACAATTCCAAATCTTTTTCTTTATGAAGAGACCAGCTCACTACCACCTAAGGTCTCCGTCAAGTAATAAATACCAACCTGTCAACAGATGTGGATCATACAATATTCAATATTCAGACAAAACACATAGACTCTTTACCTTGCCAACTACCTCTGAGCAAAGCTGGGAGTCTGGGAATGAATTCCCATTAGGCTTATGAGCAGGACCAGCAATGTAAGAGCTATTTCATAAACCCCGCTTCTCACAATAAATTGGCCTGATTTGGACAAGAGCAGACTAATACAAGCCAACTGCATTATCAACTAATAGTAACATCTGACAAGAGTAAAAATCTTGAAGTCAATATTCAAGCACGTTACTAATAAATGCAAGACTACAAAACAAACCTGCAGGTAGAAGTAAAAGGGATGGGGAGAAAAAGAAAGGAAATTACAAGAAACAAGAAGAACGAACATGTAATAAGGTTCACAACTGATTTAGGGTTGCCCTAATGATACCACATATGAAGGACAATGCAGGATCACTACTGTAGACTAACAGCTAATTGGTACATAGAACAGAAAAAAACAGAAAAATGAAATTTAAAAGCATCAGTAATGTCTTACTAAGCTTTCTTATTCCACAGTGTTAGCACAAGGAAATGGGAAAACACAAACTGAGTAGCAGCAAGTCATTTTAAAACTAGAGAAACAGCAAGGACTTGCTAAAACATTTATCAAATCTTAAGATGCTATAGCAGTATTCATACATGCTTAAAAAGAGTTTGAAATTAACTAGTAAAAAGCACTACAGGAGTTCAAGCACATAAGACTACTCTATGTTGGGCAGAACTTACTTCAACTCTAATCATCCAAATTAATACAGATGTGTCAACTACACTATGAGTTGCCGCCTGTATACCTCCTCATGTGCACCACATACTCCCAGAGATCTTGATGCAACTACAGCACATAAAAAAATAGGTAAGGTTAACAAATGTGACTTAATTTCTACTGAATTGTGAAGAACTTTCCTGTTCACTGGCCACAGGACAAGTAACTGATGGGCTCTGAGGACTACCAACACGTTTATTTCTCCATGTCCTTTCACACGATGTTTCAACCTGAGCTTCAGCAGAATGTTGACTTGGAGGCACAACCTCTACAAAGACAGTACTATAACCCAGAAACCTGAAGGTCTTGTTTGCAAAGGAGGTAGGAAATGGGGTAATACATGAGTAAGTTCTGCATAAACTTAAGCAATAAAGGCACATTGTAGATAGTGAGACAGTACTGAGCAGCAGTGCATGACATGTAATACCTATAAAACCCCAAGAGCTGCAACAGTTCATACATCAAAGGACTTTCCTCTGAGAAATTTAAAGTATTTGAACCAACAGTAATAGTGATGGGGAACCTGAGGCAAAATACACACCATACAGTAAGAGCTACAAGTTAAGTCCTCAGTTTTCAGCATAAAAAATATTTTCAAAATTAGGGAGAAAATTGGTATTTTTATTTTCATCACTTAAGTTACTGGAGTCAAAGATCCAAAAGAGAACATGTTTATGCCAAGATCAAAGTATCACACACTTCTGGGTGCAGACTGTGTCCTTGCTTTTCCTGTACTTATTCAAAAAAGAAAAAAGGTTTGGTCTAACACTTCTAATGATAATCTTCTTTCACAACGTGTAACACTAATATGTCATCATTTTAAACTATGATACTGATTTTTTATTTTTTAAAAGAAAAAACTTACTACTAGCTAATACCAAGCCATTTTACACTAACACGTGTCATCATGAGAAGGCCAAAGAACAAAGAACTTAACTTCAGCCATTCTCTCTACCAAAGTCACTGCTCCTGCTCTCACAGAATTTTCTTAAATGCAGGGGCAGGGTGGGGGGGG